TTGCAAGTCTTCGGTGATTTGAGGCCTTTGGCCTGAACCTGTCAACGCCTGCCTGGTGCCCCAGAGACTGACTTGCGTGGACTGCTGAACCTGGCAGGGATGGGATTTGGGTTGTCGGCTGGTCGGTTCGAGAATGAAGTTTATAGCTTTTTAGCCAGTTCTGGGCCAAGGCATCCAGAACTGGAGGTTTAGTTTTCCGGTGTTTGTTTGTTGCATTCTCGAACTTTAACATTTTAGCCAGTTCTGGGCCAAGGCATCCAGAACTGGAGGTTTAGTTTTCCGGTGTTTGTTTGCTTGCCGCTTTATGCGCACGGGCGATGGCTGTGGACGGATGGGAGACGGGTGGGCGGGAAATCGCTTTTTGTTCCGGGTCGCCTTCGCTTGCGGTCTTTTCGCCGGGAGGTCGCTTAATAGGCCTTTAGGCGACTTGCCGGATGAGATTGCGATGTCGACTGCGTTTGGGAAATCGCTTTTTGTCCAGGTGACGGCGGAGCTTCGGCATGGCGGGCAACCCCAGTGTGTATATTTTATGTGTCAATAAAGCGTGGGTGTCAAAAGAGAGAGAAGTTTGTGCTTGAGAGATTTCGGAGTTCCAACTTTCCACTCTTCTTGAGTGGACTTATGAACGAATGTGAATGCCATGCAGTAGCTGTCAGACAGCCCTTCCTTGTGAAGGCCAATATTCAAGACACACTGGCGCAAAGGTTTGCCACGCGACGTCCGCTCCAAGGTTTGACCCATGGACTTCTGGCCAACTTCTGTGGTTCTGGCTCTGAACTGAGCCACGGGCAGCCATGTTGTCCAGCTTTTCGATGTTTGATTGAGGACACAAACAATGACCCAGTTTTTGCTACATTGCATTATCCGGTTAAGTTATGCTTCTCCAGGTTCCACATGAGTGTTTGGAACTGGCAAGTTGTCAGTTTTTGAGTTTGTGTATGGCTTCCTGAAAACACACTAGTCTTCTGAACTTGCGCTGCACTCAACTCAGAAGGCCGTGCTTGAAGCGCAAGTGCTCTTTGAAGGTCTTCCTGACAGCTGGCAAGCTGATATGAAAACATGTTTGAAGCAGGTACCGAATGGTCACACGACCACACAACCTTTTGTTCTGACACATGTGTTTCGCTTGTTTCTTCATACCTCAGCTCTGTTGACAAACACATGTCTATATGCTTCCAAGGATGCTGCCTTTCAGCTTGTGTCCTCGATCCTTTTCCTGACAAAACTTAGTCCACAGTGACCCCATATACACAAAACATGTTTGGACAGCGCCCTGCACTCAGGAGTCAACGTCCCAGGGCATACCAATATACAAATACACAGATGTCGCTGCCAGGCTGTATGGGTTACACTTGAAAGGTTCCGCTTACAAGTCCTCACAGGTTTTTCAAAAGACTTCAAAGGAAAACACCCAGCATTCGCAACAAAAAACAACAAACGCATTGAACGTGTTCCAGTTCTGGCCAACCCAGAACTGGCAAACGAGGTTAGTGGCAAGTGACATAAGTTAGTGGCAAGTTGTATTACGAGAGCTTCCACACAGGGATCACACACAGCCACGTGTTCCACCATGTGTTGATGTTAACTACTAGCAGCATGCAGTGTGTGATTCCAAGAGTATGAAGTTTACAATGTTTTTATGGCATTCCTGCGGCACCTATGGCCTGTGTGCACTTGCCAGGCTGCGCCTCTGGAGCTCTGGCTGGCCGGTTCAGCGGCTGCCTGAAATCTTTTCAATCTTTGATTTGCAAACTGAAGAAACCCATGACTTGCGAGTTCCAAACACTTATGTAAAACGGTAAAAACCATAACTTGCCGCTTGCTGATTTGCCCTGAGCTAGAACTAGAAAACAAAGGTACAACTCAAGACCCCATTGACTTGCCAGTTCCTAACCCGTGTGTAGAACTGTAAAAAACAATACCTTGCCAGTTCTGGATTTGCCCAGAACTGGATAGAAGTTCAAATGAAACCATAGCGCAGCTGTCCAACCTGCAGTGTTCCACCTGTGGAAAGCGTGTTGATGCACCCTTTACTGCAATACCTTGCCAGTTCTGGATTTGCCCAGAACTGGATAGAAGTTCAAATGAAACCATAGCGCAGCTGTCCAGCCTACAGTGTTCCACCTGTGGAAAGTCTGTTGATGCACCCTTTACTGCAATACCTTGCCAGTTCTGGATTGGCCCAGAACTGGATAGAAGTTCAAATGAAACCATAGCGCAGCTGTCCAACCTGCAGTGTTCTACCTGTGGAAAGCGTGTTGATGCACCCTTTACTGCAATATGCTTCTTTGTCACAGGGTTGTGGATCGGACATTCAACATCCCATCAAAACAGTTCGATGCAATACAGTCAAACAGGATCTGCCCTTGCCTGCTCCTTTGATCCCAAATTATCTCTCACGTGTTGTTGGAAGCTCAGCTCAGCTTAGCTTCCAGGCGCCTGTGAACTTTTGAACTTTCTCAAGGCTCCGCTCCGCTTCCGACAGCTCCGCTACCGACAGGATTGCTTTGGATTGCGTCAATTCAACCCTGGATGAGACTAGAACGCTGTATATATGTTATTTCTTGCAAGTTGTAGCTATCCAGTTCTGGGAAACGCCAGAACTGGCAAGTTGCAAACACAGTTGCTCATGTTTAGAGACAAAATTGTTTCTGTCGCTAGACTTTTTTCAGAAAAGACTGTCAATATTTTTCTTGTCGGTGTATATTCAATCTGTGCAGTCTGTCAATTTTGTCAACCACAGGCGATGTGGTGGCCATTAGTCTCCAATGGGCCTGCAATGGGTTGGGCTCTGACAGTTTTTGCTGCAAGAGCGTAGTGTCATCAATTGAGTAGAGGGTCTCATCAAGTTAGTCAGAGGCTGCAAGAGCTCTTTGGTAAAGTTGGTCTGTCAGCACTTTGAGCCCTTTGGTAAAGTTGGTCTGTCAGCACTTTGTGCCCAAGATGCCGTCGAGTTCCAGTGCGCCAAAGGCCCATGGTAAGGGTAAAAAGGATCTAGATGCTTTGTGGGTTAAGCATTCCTTTGCTTGGACATCAAGATTCTCATGGCTCTTTGCGGTGGAAGAGGACGGCAAAGTGAAGTCACTAGGGTGCAGCATTTGTTGCAATGCGCCTGAAAACCAACGTGACAAGAACGGCTTTGCAGACGGCTGCATCCAGACTGCCCAGACATCTGTTTTCCAAAAACACGAGAAGTCGGCGGCTCATGTTGCCAGATCTGAAGGCTTCAAGTCCAGCGGCGTTCCCATTGCAGCCCCATCAGCCCAGCTTTTTGCAGAGTGTTTGGAATCTGTCTGGCGGGGCACAGCTGAGTTGAAGAGTGTTGGGCCTTGGAAGTGCCGTGTCATGGTCTGGTGCTTGGCAGAGGCGTTGGGCCTAATTCGGGGCGTGTTCATGTCTTTTCAATATTACAGTAAGTATAGGTGTGTTTAGCGAGTCTCGGGCATGAAACCAAAATTGGTGGTATCCCAACTTGTTAATTACTAGTTTGGCGTAGCTTCAGTGATTTCATCCAGCGAATAATGGTTTCCCAGCAGGCTCATCGGCTTGCTCTCAGACAGTCTTTGCGTGATTCTACATCGTTATCGTTGATGCAAGATGTGCGGGATGGCCAGCTCCTTGTGTCTTTCGTGTCAGTGGACACCAACCTCAAGGTGACTAATGGCCACTTGGGGCAATGCAATCTGCATGATTTTGGTCTGACAGCCAAAGACATTGCGCAAGCAAGTGTGTACATTCTGCACAAGTTTGCAACAGCAGGCTTGGGGATGCCAGTGCGTGACGGAAGTGCAGATAACGCTATCCTGGATCATGACCTTGTTCAGCACGTTAAAAGCACTGTTGAATGCTTCGGCGCTGACGGCGCTGCAGATGAACAGAGAGCAGGTCAGTTACTGAAGGGGTGGTTTCCAGCACTGAAATTGGTGCAGTTCGACAAAGCCCACGCATGTCAGAGGCTGCTATCTCGAACTTTTCCTGCGGACCCCTACATCAACAAGTTGGTCCAAGATCTAGTTCTGGTTCCTCAGGCGATCACCCAGAAGATCCGCTACTCGGGGGTGTTTCGGAAACGCTTTCAGGAGGCTGTTGCTGAGTTGTCTGGCCCGCTTGCCAGGCGCATTCGCGATTTAGCTTGCGCCAAGCACCGGTTCTTGAGCGCTGCTCAGCCGTTTAGAAGATCTGTGCTTTACTTTCAGCCTTTGCTGCGGGTAGCCCAATGGATTGTTCAACAAAGAGGCAAAGGTTCAGAGGAAGGCCAGATAGCCAGACAATGGCTGAAATCTGTAACGGCCGAATCTGCTTTTCAATTGGCGCTGGTGGCAGACTCAACGGATGAGACTATGGCAGTCAATAGGTATTTTGACCAGGATACTTATTCCAAAGCAGACCTGACAGTGCAATTGCACAAATTTCTGCAGAAGTGCAGCTGGCTTTTTGGCCCGCAAAGAGGGGCCATGCAGACGGGATACACTTCGTTGATGATGAAGACATTGGAGAAGCCGTGCAACATTCTTATTGATGGAACAGTCACTAGTGTTAGGGCTCCTTCCAATGAAGTCATCGACAGGTGTTTCCAGAGGATGCAAAACTGGCTTGAACTTGTGCGGATGACCGTTCGTGCCGAGATGCCCCACTTTGAATCGGTTCAGTTGTTCCGGGTCTTTTCCCTGGACATGAGCCCCAACATGAAAGATCTAGAGTGTTTGGCAAACATGATTGAGCTTGACCCAGACGGCTTGCGCACAGAGTTTCTGGATCTGAGACCATCTGCTGAGTGGCACTTTGCCAATGGGAGCAAGTCATCCGAAGACGCCTGGCGTGCTTCTCACTTGAAGAACAGGACAACGGCCTCTCCCAAACACAATTTGGAAGCTGCCTTGACCAGGCTTTTCTCGTGGCAAATCAACACCTGTGGTATCGAGCGAGCCTTTGCTAAGGGCCTGGTGCAAGCCAGAAAGAGGGGCGATGTGTCCGAACATCGGCTTGATGACGAAGTGCAGCTGCTGTCCTTGAACAAAGGCAAGGGCAAACTTGCTGCTCTCCGAAGCACAGTGATCTGATCGAGTCCGCCCGTGCTGTGTGGACACAGTGCTATGGCCCACCTCGAAACAGACAGAAAGTCTCTGAAGACTTGAGAGGATGGGTTCAGATTGTTTGCTTATTTTTTTGCTTTCCTTTTGATTTCTCTTGTGAGATTTTCCTTTCATCACCCCCTGTCAGGACGCAAGCGTGCTCAGCCGTTCGATGATGAACAGATCACCTCTGAAGCTGCGTTCTTGAGGAAGCGGCGTCGAGAGGTTGATGCTGGAGCAATTTCAGTAAGCTTGTCAGAAGCGGTGCAACCTGTGACAGGCTCTGTTGGTGTGAATGGGTGGGGCGAAGGGCATGAGAAGGAGAAGCAGTTCTTGGAGACAAAGCTTTTGGCCCGGCTGATGAAAGCGATTGCTGAGGGAGCCGTGCCTTGGGAAAGCTTAAGCCCGGCTATGCACTCGGTGTTTCAGCAGTGGCAACAGCATGATCTTGACCTCTGCCAGGATGCATTGAAAAGCCGCCGTGTCTCCTTCACAAGACCTTCTTTCCCTAATGTTGCAGGCTTGAAAGTTTGGTGGCCTGAGGCTGTTCAATCTGCCATTGGCGAGCTTGAGCTTCGACGTGTCAGTCGCCAGATGGGGCTGGTGACAGAGGAGTCCAAGTATCGAGCAGAGCTTCATGTGTGGACAGAAGTTGCTGAGCCGGAGTCCCAAGAGGATGAGTTACTTGCCGGCCTGCATGGCAAACTGGTGTGTGATGCCAGATGCTTCCTGTCCGCTGGAAAGAGAGGCAGTTTCTCGGTCTATAAAGCTGCGACCAGCATTGCCCGCACCATCTATGTCACCCCTCGATTTGCCCGAAACAGTGGCGAGGTTGCTCAGAACATCATGCACTACTGCAAGCCCTTCCACCGAACTTCACGTTGGGTTTTCCAAGGCAATCTGGATGAGTTCCTGAAGGTCAACCGGAAGGCGATCAAGGCCAACAAGCCAACGCAGGTAATGGTTTTTGGAACTGAGGCAGACAAGTGTGGGGAGTTGAGTGACATCAAACTGTTTGTGACAGTGGAAGATCTTGCGCAACATTTAGTCTTTGTTGATCCGATACGGTCTGCCCATGGCTTGGACGGTCTCCGTGGATCATAAAGATTTGTATAGAGCATGGGATCGGGGCTGGCTCAGAAGCAACTGGATTTGTATCCAATGTGTGTTGGCGAGTGCCCAATGTTGAGACCAGCAAGTACTACATGTGCAAACTGGTTTTGTCCAATGTGTGTTGCCGAGAGTCAGTCAAGAATTCAATTACACCACCTAGGTGGTCAGATAGCCTATTTGTTGCAACCGCAAGCCCAGTGTGGCTCTGAAAGAACAAGTATTAGAAAACAAGCAGGCGCACCAAAACAGTTTCAAGACAACAGCTGCATGAAAGCCGTTGCGCCGTTGCGCGCTGTTTCTTCCGATGTTTTTTGAGGTCACTTGACCTGAGAGAAACGGTTTGAACCTCAAAAGCTTGGAAGTCTTTCACCCCGTCTTAGCTGTGCGAAGATCCTTGCAAGACAACAACTGTGAAAACGGTGGCAAAACCTTGCTTCCAACACTCGACATGAGTCAGTGAATTAGCGGAAACCAATTGAACCTCAAGTTTTGAAAAATAGATTGACTGAGAACTGCTTTCATTATTCATTTGCAGTTGTGTCTTATTCACCAAAACAAGCTGCATCAAAAGGTTTGCAATACCTTGCTTCCGATGCTCTTTGAGGTGCAGTTGGGCTGAGCTGAAGCGGTTTGAGCCTCAACACTTGAAATTGCAGCAAGCCTTAAAAGACATGCCAATGTGTCGGCGGCGGCGGGCAAAGCATTTTGTGCTAAATGTTTGTATTTGCTGCAAGATATTTGTGCAAGATTTTTGCTAAATGCTAACATTGCGCAAGATTTTGGCTGCAATTCCTTCATCCAAAGCTGTGTTCAACCAAAGCTTCAGGGAGCTAACCCTGGTCATTCATTCCCGATCCTCGCCCAACCAGTTATCAGTCATGCCCACATGCGCCAAGCGCCAGCGCAGCGACAAGCAAAAGGTGAGGAGGGCCCAAAGAGAGAAGTTCCAACGTCAGACCTGTCAGAAATTGCCAAAGAGCCACGAGTGGCTGCATGGATTGGCGCCCGATGCAAAGGCTGCGCTCGAAGGTTCTGAGCGTTTGACGATGCAAGAAGCTGCAGGGCTCAGCCCAATTGTTGGACAGGTTCTGGGCCGTGGCAGCACTTCCTCAGAATGCATTGCGAAAGTTGATGGTGCCTGCACTCCAGAGCAGCTCCTCAGCATTGACAGCGAGATCCTTTACCAGAGACTTTGTGAAATGCAAGCTCTCAAGGAAGAAGTTGCTCGCCACATGTTGCTTCTTATGGATACTTTGGCGCAGCGCAAGTTTCTCTTTGCAAAGATTGTGAAGCAAGATTGTGAGAGTGTGAAGATCAAAGAAGAACCAAAAATTAAGGTCGAACCAAAGCAAAAGACCTCACTGAAAAAAGTGAAGGTCGAACAAATTTAGCAGACCTTTCTGAGGACCTTTCTGAGGAAAGCCGGGGGAAACAATGACTGGAGCCGGGCCTGTGCAACTGGGAAGGGGCGGGACGAAAGCGTCCCGTGGGATGAAAGCGTCCCGCGGGACGCTTTCGTCCCGTGCGGGCTGTGTGATTTTGCCAGTTCTGGTTTTTATCCCAGAACTGGGTATACATAACCTAGAAGAAGACAGGCAAGGTGTAGCAAGAGTGTAGCAATTTGGTAGCAATTTTGGACGCATTAGATTAGAGGGAAGCATTTAGAGGGACGCTTTCGTCCCGCTCAGGCAAGGAGAAACCAGAAATGACCTTCTCGCTTTGTCAAATTCTCATGATTTGTGGCGAGCAAAGTCTGGAAGGATGATGCTGAATCAGGGTCGGGGGCCCGACCGTCTCTCAGCGCTCGGTACCGGTACCGGAGGCTGAGAGGGCAGAGGGGCCACATTATCCAGCAATGTTGATAGGACTGCAGGGTTCCGGCCATTCTCTCAACATCGCATCACCATAGACAGGTCTGAGGCTCTCAGCGCACGGTACCGGTACCGGGCGCTGAGCGCAGGATCGGGTCCCTCACGGCGGCTCAGTCTTGTTCGTCTTCAGATGGATTTTTTTTTAAATCCTCAGCCTGACCTTGATCAAGCCAAGCGATTCATTGCTTCTATTTGTGTTCACAGTCTTTTGCCCATCATGGCGAAGGAAACTTTGGCGCCAGCTGCTGCTGCACAAACTATGCCTGCAGTGGCTGCTGCAAACGCGCAGCACTTGGAGTACATCCACGAGTGTGTGGAGGCCATCAAAAGCCACCCTGTCATGAAGGATGTGGCGACAAGTGATCCGGAGTTTGGAAAGTACATGCCTGTTCATTGGCCATCGGTGCAATCAACTCTTCGATCAAATAGTGGGCCAGAAACTCAGAGAGCTGTTTGTTAAGTTGCAGTGAGAGTTCCACTGTTGATCCCAGAAGGGCAGGAGATGACAACAGTTTTTTCATTTCAAAGCTTTCTTGACTGCGTGCCATTGCCATTGATTGAGGCCAGCTGCGGGCGCTGGAAATTTCTTCTGGGTGGATTTGGCTTTGGACCCAGCAGTCGCGCACACCGCAATCAAGACCAGGAAGTGCCATGAGATTGCAGAGCGCTACTACAACACCCCGAAGCCTTTGATCTCCGAGATTGTGGTTGGCGTTCCAAAATCCTTTGCCCAAGAGAAGAAGAAAGTGGTTCCAGCCCCAGGCTTTCTGCGCAGGGTCTCGCCGCCTGAGCCTCTTCACGCCTTGATCATGGCAATTCACAAGGATGTCAAGGAGGAAAATGTCGAGAAGTTGCAGCAATGGCGGGGCATCCTTTTGAATACCTTGCTGAGCTTCGAAACCGTTGAGGCTGACGCTTCCTTGCATTTCAAGAACACTCAGTTGAGAGAAAAAAGTGGCATCGAGCATGAGCTGATTCGTCACTCAAGCCTGAGCCGCTGCTTGGATATTGTCAACTTTTCATCCCGCACGCACGCTGCCGCTAAGAGCAAGAAGCCCGACAAGGGCAAGGCTTCCTGGGCCAAACAAGTCAGTGAAGCCTACAATGCGGATTTGGTCATGTCCGAGTTGTCAGAAAAGGTGACAGAGACCTGGGTTGACAGGGCTTTGGCAGTGAATTCCAGGATGCTGACAAAGTCGGCTGCGATAGTGGAAAAGTTGCTTTACTTGGACGACGCCTATGGTGTCAAAGGCCCCCTGGATAGCATTCACAAATTGCATGCGATGCTTGCCAAGGCAGGCACTGGCCCCTCCAGTGTCAAAAAGCTTGAGTGGATGGTGCTGATGATCGCTGACCTCTTTGAGAATGGAGCGTTGGATGGAGACCAGACCTCCAAGAGGGAACTCACAAACAGGCTGTGCGATGTGCTCATTGCCAAGCACGATGTCAGAAGTGAGCTTCTGAAATGGGATGAAGCGACAGGGGTGCAGACACAAGCGCTCCAGAAACTTCAGGAAGTTTCAGAGAATTTGGAAAAATATCGCAAAACATGTGGGTACTCTTGGTTGCCGGCGAAGCAGCAGCCCTCTTGTGGCTGGCGAGCTGCTTTCACACCATCAGCTGACCTTTTCATGACACTTCTCGATGGACTTGTCTTTGGCACCACGTTTGACGAAGTCATTGCCACCTGGGTCAGGAGCAAGAAGGCTTTGGCAGACCTTTTGAAGATGAGCCCATTGTCGGAGTCCTTGGAGGAAGTGGCAGAGAAGATTGAGGACAGAGTTTCATGGCATCAGGGTTGTAAGAGCTTTGAACACATGCTGAGCGCCAGTCCGCAAAATCCTTCACACACTAAGCACATGTGCTGTAGGAATGGTCTTTTTTGTGGAGTGTTGTAAGAGCCAAAAGCGTTGTCATGCCTGGCCTCGCAGCCTTGCAGGAAGAAAAAGGCAGCTCTGAAGCCCAGCCCGATGATGAGAAGACAGCTGATGACACAGAGATGGG